TGTATACCTGTCTACCCATCTCCATATCTATCATTCATTTTCCAACTATTAAGGAACACAAAAGAAATAAATATTCATACTGCAATGACAATGATTTCAGGGCACTAATCTCTGCAATTCTCAACATGATTATAACAAAACCCTATTCTGACCACAAAAAGGCGGGCTCTGCAAAATCCAGGTCCCGCTCTTGAAACAGACTGCGTTAGATTCCATACTGGGCTATGTATTGATTAGTTGCCACAGTTTATTTGTCATTTTCCTTTTAATTTCATCCTAGAGCATCACCCTTGGCTAAATGTCTTGAATGGCATCACTTGATCAGACATGCTGTCACTTCCAACATTTCCAGGGACTTGATGCCCAGAACAACGGATTTGCCTTTTCTCACATTGGTCATCTTGATGACCAATGGCTTTGAATTGGAGATATTTTTTCCACAGTCTTTCCATGATGCCTCTCTGAGGAAAGGGAGGCTATTTTTTAGGAAATCTGAAGGAATTTATTTGGGACAGGATGAGAACTTTCCACAAGGACAAATATCCAAGCTCACATCATGTTCATCATCGCTCTCATTTGCAGGGTGCTTGCTGTGGGTCAGCTCTGCTCTATGCCTCTCTTCGTCTTTAAATTCATTAAAGCCTCATAACAGCCATAAAGTGTTATCCTCATTTGGCTGAGGCACCAAGAGGTTATGTGATTTGCCCAAGCTCTCACAGCTAGAAAGTGGCTGATCCAGGATCTGAACCCAAGCGGCCAGGCACAAGTCCGTGCACTTCGCCCTAAAGCACGCAACATAGCCTTTGGGTTGCATTCTGGAGAGAATACATCTTAGTTTTGAATTATTAGCCAAATTTGTGTTAAAAGTAATATTATTAAGTCCCGTGTCATGTCTTAAAGTTTTTCATGTAGTCAAACTAAGTTTGTTAGGCAAAAAGCAACTTTTCTTTTTACCCTGGTGGAGAAGTATACCATCTCCCTAAAATAAGCCCATTTTAAGACATATGAAACATCCCCTAGCATTCTAGGCCTTCTTTCTCATAAAACACTGCTAAGAATTTTCATGTAAGTTCTTTTAATGGACGCACACAACATATAGATGAGGTAACTGAAGCTGAGTCATTAAACTCAAGCTGAGTCAAGCTTGACCATAATCATAAGGCAGTAATAAGGCCACACTTTTCCTTCTACCTGGGTCTCCTTCCTCGGCTACAAGCTGATTTAGAATGGACAGGAAGTGTCTTGTTCAAGTGATTGGAATTGATTGATTTTACTACATTTGTGAAAATTACATTGCTGGTATCTCAGGAAAGGATTATAGTTTTAAAGGTGCAAAATTATTCCAAATTACTTTGGAAACCCGCTATTATTTATGCCTCCGTGCATAAAGAAGATCATGCAGGTTGGTACCTGGTCATCTGTGAGATCACATTTTGTGTTTTCCGGTAACCATGAAAAGCCATGTAGCCCATCTGCTTTCTCCATTGTTATCTCTTTTCAAATATTTATTTATTTATTTGTTATTTTTAATTTTTTAAAAAATTAAGATCATTGACTTATGACATTATATTAGTTTCAGGTACACAACATAATGATTTGATATATGTATATAAAGCAAAGTGGTCGCCACAAGTCTAGGGAAGAGTCGTCACCACAGACAGTTGGAATTTTTTTTCCTGTGATGAGAACTTCGAAGTTCCAGTCTCTTGGCAACTTCCAGACATACAATCCAGTATTATTAACTATGGTCACGATGCTGTACATTAGGTCCCCAGAGCTTACTTATTTTATAATTGGAAGTTTGTACCTTTTGACCCCCTTCACTCATTTTGCCCCCCCTCCACCCACTGCCTCTGGCAACTGCTGTTCTCTGTATCTGTGAGTTTTGTCTTGTTTTAGATTCCACAAATAAGTGAGATCTTATAGTTTTTGTCTTCCTCTGTCTGACCTATTTCATTCAGCACAATGCCCTCAGGTCCATCCATGTTGTCACAAATGGCAGTATCTCCTTCTTTTTTATGGCTGAGTAATATTCCATTGTGCATGCCACATTTTAAAAATCCATTCATCTGTCATTGGACACTTAGACTGATTCTGTATTTGGCTACTGTAAATAATGCTGCAGATGAACATGGGAGTGCAGGTATCTTTTCCAGTTAATGTTTTTGTTTCCTTTGGAGAAATACCCAGAAGTGCAATTGCTAGCTCATGTGGTCGTTCTATTTTTAACTTTTGGAGGAGCCTCCATACTGTTTTCCACAGTGGCTGCACCAGTTTGCATTCCTACCAACAATACATAAGGGTGCCCTTTTCTCCACGTCCTTGCCAATGCTTATTTCGCGTCTTTTTGATGATGGCCATTCTAACAGGTGTGAGGGGATATCTCATTGTGGTTTGGATTTGCATGTCCTTGATGATCAGTGATGTTGAGCACCTTCTCATGTACCTGCTGGCCATCTAGGTATCTTTTTTGGAACAATGCCTATTCAGATCCTCTGCCCATTTAAAAATCAGATTGTTTTTCTGTTTGCTGTTGAGTTATATGTGTCTTTTATATATCTTGGAGAGAGTACAGGGGTCCTAAGCACCTTTACCCACTACCAGCTTATAGGGCAGAGGTTCCACACTGGGAGAGGTAAGCCAAGGAGACCAGAGGCTCCCATCCCTGTTCAATGCTCAAAGCAATGGCTCAGGGGGAGACTCAGCTCATAAGAACAGAAAGTTTGGGGGACACCTGGGTGGCTCAGATGGTTAAGCATCTGCCTTCGGCTCAGGTCATGATCTCAGGGTCCTGGGGCTCCCTGCTCAGTGGGAAGCCTGCTTCTCCCTCTCCCTCTGCTTTTACCTCTCTTGCTTGTGCTCTATCTCTCTCTCTCTCAAATGAATAAATAAAATCTTTAAAAAAAAAAAAAAAAGAACAGTTAAGTTTTGTAGCACTCCCCAAAGGAACTGACTTTATTTGAAAGAGTCTGTGGAAATTCAAAACTAAAAGCGCTCTAGAAACAACGGAGATTTTGATGGTGAGCAGGGAGGAGGAGGCTGGTCCCTCTATAAGAGCAACAAGCTAAACCACAGGCCATATTGTTTACCAGAGATAACCCAGCTAGGAAGAGCCCTTCTGGAGTTAAAACAAACTTCAAAAACTTGCATCACGAAGCTAACTCAGCCTGAATTGAATTGAATCAAACCGTGCAGCAATTTATGCCTCAAGGATTGTTGAAAACAATAGAGAAATCAGCCAGAAATTAGTGTAGACTAACAGAAGGAGGCAGACAGCTTTACAGAGATATCAGGGAGAGGGACAAAGAGAGTCATGCTAAACCATGGTTATCCCAGGTGACTCTGCTCATGCCCCAAAGTGTGCCGTCTTAGGAGTGACATCAGAGGCTCTGGTTGTATGGTATGAATTAGATCTCAATAAAGTTACTAGAAAAGTAAGACAAGAGCAAAATCAACACTTTTCTTTTCCTCCCCTCGAATGTTATTTTAGAAGAACGTGGGCCTGCAACCTTTCTTTTGTGTTTGTGTTTATTCTGTTTTCACTTACCACAGAAGCCACGATGTGTGTCCAAAAAAAAGTAGATTTTGTGACCATTTTGCCCATTTAATCTCCTTCTTGGTGTACTTTGCGGCAGAGTTACTTAGACACCTGCAACACTGGAATAGCAGGAACATCAACTAGAGAGACACAGGGCAGGTCGAGAGGGCCTGAGGAGCTTCGTTTTTTCACTCTCTACCTGGTAGAGGTCTTGCTGTTGGTCTCAGGCCTGCTGTGATGTCTCTTCTAGGTCTATTTAAGATGACCGCATTAGACACACCCCAAGCTTAGCTCAGAAAATAGGAGCAAGTAGCAAGCCTCATATCTTTTGCAAGATTTCTTTCTTTGGAAGTCGCTGTTACACCTGAGTGATACAGGGAGACCCCAAATTTGGTATGTCCAGGGAAACAAACCATAAGAGAGTCTTAACGATAGAGAACAATCTGAGGGTTGATGGAGGGAGGCCGGTCGGGGATGTGCTAGATGCTAGATACCACAGATGCCCTCTTTATTCCTTAAGGAGCGCACCTGTGATGAGCACTGGGTGTTGTATGTAAGTGATGAATCCATGAATCTATTCCAGAAACCAATATTGCACTCTATGTTCACTAACTAAAATTAAAAAAAAAAAATCGGCATGTCCAAAACTGAGCTCCTCATCCCCTTCCCACCTCTACCACTCCTGCTCCTCCTATATTTCGAGGACCGGCAGGACACCAAGCAGAAAAACCGAGAGTCATCATAGACTCCTTCCTCTCTCTCAGCCACGCATCCAGTCCATCACCCAAACAACTCACATCTCTCTGCTGTCTTTTCTTTTCCTCCTGGCTTAGCTCAGGCTCTCAGGCACTCTCCCTTGGACCTTCAGAGCTCAGTACCTCCTAGCTTATACCCCTGCCTTTAGACTCATCCCCATCTGATTTTTTTTTTTTTTTTTTTTTTACACAGAATCAAGTCCAAGTTTCTCAGTTCCTTAGCATGGCATAGAAGGTTCTTCATTATCTGACCCCTGTGTATCATCCAAACTTCACCCCTCAACACTCCATGCTCAGGCCAATCTCCATACTCTTGACCATGCTTTTCCCTCGGGTTGGCTGCATTCATGGCCCTTCCTCTGTTTTCCTCCAGCTCTTTATACATGACCCCATCTCTGTACTGTACTGAAAGTCTTAGTTTACTTGGAGGCTTTCCCTGTTAGACTGTGAGCTCCTTAAACACATGGCCTGTGTCTTATTTTTCTTTATCTCTCCAGTTCCTAGCACAGGACTTGGCCCAGAGGGCATGCTTACAAAGCATGCTGCAAGAGCGACTCCCAAGTTGTTGCTCAATCAATATTTATCAACTTTAAACTTCCTGATTCTGTTTTAAGAATTTTTTTTTTATTTTTAAGTACTCTCTACACCCAATATGAGGTTCAAACTTACAGTCCCGAGATCACGAGTCATATGCTCTACCAACTGAGCCAGCCAGGCGCCCCGAATTTCCTGACTCTTGACACTTGATGATACAGTTGATAGTTGGTTAGACGCACCTCCTCCATGCTCCCAGGGTGCACCCCTACCACTGGGATTATCACCCTCTACTTGTACGGTATTTTCTTGTTTATTTACTTTTCCGACTCCTCACGAAATGGTATCAGCTCGTGGAGAGAAGGGCCCAGGTCTTGTCTTGCTCGCTGCTGAATCGTTGGTGCAGAGCTGACGCAGTATGCACGGCAGAAAGGACCCTCTGGGCAGGCAAGCAGATGTGACAGGAGAGATTGTGCTGGGCATGCCTAGTTCTTCTGCCCCATTGCACCAACCAGATGGAGTGTGGCGAAACCGGCGGCGTTGCTCTAGCAGAAGTCCTCGTGATAGAGACACAAGCCCAGAGACATGGAGGATGGCACCAACAATGATTACCAGCGAAGCCAGATGAAAACCATGGCACGAACTCTCAATAGGTTCCAGTTGTTGCCACAGAAAGCTTTTGGAAGGAATTTTCTTCCTTGGCAGCTCCTGAAGAGTTGAGAGACAAGACAGAATCTAGACAGAGTAAGACTGTTCCAGAGGACTGTGTTGAGAATTGGGCTAGTCCTTGCAGGATGGGGATCAATTGTAACCAATTTAACTTAAAACACAGAATTTTAAAGGAGCACGCCTGTGGTCAAGTAGAGATGAAACCACAGAATCTTGAGGGAGTGCCAGCATTCAGGTGTTGATAAAGCATAAAATGCCTCCTCTCCCATGCTCCCTCTTCCATGTCCTCCTCCCTATTAAGGCCCCCCTTTTCAGCACACGAGCACCAGCAGAATTACAGGTGTCCCTCTAAGAACCAAGAAAAATCAGCTGACCACTTTCTGGTGCTACTTGCGTGAAAACACAAAGACATACTGAATATTCGTCAGTGCCAGGGTTATGTGAGTCGGCCCACACAAAGGCAAACAAACTTCGTCATCCCTCTCAAATGAGCCAGTAGCAAAGGGTAATGCTATTTATTTGATCTGGCCCATGTTCACTGTCACTTTGAACAAAAGAGGAGAAAAGCTTTGCCAGAGAAGAGACTCCTTTGTAGTTGGACTCTGGGATGTCTGGGTTTGTTATACACCTCCACCCCACTGCCCACCTCCTAGACGTCCCAACTCTAATATTAACTTCTGAAGTAAAGGTTGAACGAAACTACTTTTGTTTGGGAAATTTCTTGAGATTTCCAATAATGACCACAGACACTGTAAAGTGGGTCTGAGCCCTAAATCTGGGTTTCACTCCCTTGGAAGAAGGGAATGTACAAGAACATTTGCTGACTGTCCACTGTGAATCAGGTACTGAGCTATGCACTTTACACGTGCTCTTTCCTTGAACCCTTTTCTGAAGAACCCACAGAGGTAGGCATTCCCATCCCTGTTTCCAAATAAAGCTTTCAAGGCTCCAGAAGAGTAAAAAAAGAAGAGTAAAAGTTTTCCCAAGGTCACAAGGCCATGAATGATAGGACTGGCCCACAAATCCAGCTCTGGCTCACTGCAATGCACCCGTCCTTGCTTGCCGCCCCACCATACCACACTCTTCCTTCCTGGTTGCTTGAGACGACTGCATCTAGCCGTAGGTGATATGCCGTGTCTACAAGTCAATATTCAGGAAGATCATCAATTCAAGTGGCAATTGTTTTATGATGGCTTCTTTATTCGCAATGCAGGTGTGACCGTGGATTTCCCACTAGCCAGAAAATTGTGCGTGTTGTACTACTCTAATCATCACAAGGCTTTAAATAAATACTACATGATTTCTACCCTTTCCCTCATATCTCAAAACAGAGAGATGGCGATGCACCATTCAGTATATGACACTGAAACCCCATTTAGGCTTTTACCAAATTCATTGAACTATAAGTCAAACACTGAATGAAGGGACCTATGAGGTGAACACAGTAAAAATGCATAGCTTTCCAGACAGGCTGCTGATGGTGGGTGTGCATAAATTCATGTACAGGTCCTATTAATTTTTAATTTATCATCTGTAGAGTCTGTACCTCTAAATGACATTTTTGGGGTCTCTAATTGGGAAGTGTTCCAGGATGAGTATCAGGGTGGGAGGGATATTCCAAACCCATACCTGTTCAGATAAATGGAGACATCATTAGCAACAAGAAGTAAGTGATCATGGCTTCTCTCGTTTTTCATAAATTACACTAAATAACCATAATGCTGCAATTTAGTGGTCCAAAGTTCATTCTATTCAGCAGGCCATCCATAGTCAACAGTTTAAAGAAAAGAGACCTGCTGAGAAAATAGTGGTCTAATCAGATGCCATAAAATCGAGCTGATGAGATGAGTCCCATTTCTTTTTTTGTAAGGGGATTCTAATGAAGCAATGCTCAGAGGGGATTCATAACTTTGGGCCCCCTGTTTCATTATTCAGGTCAGCTGTACCCAGGTCCAAATGAAGCTAAGGAACCTAGTCCCACAGACTATAGGTAGATATGCTGTGTTATGCAGGTGACTTCTTAAATCCCAAATTCCTAGCTGCCAAATTGTACACACTGTCTTGGTTCTTAAACGGAATTTGAGGAAGCTTTGGGAAAAAAGGCAAATCAAAGAGAACAGTAATCAAATTCAAAGTACTGCACAATGATGCCTCACACACTAATTCATCAGAAGCTGAAAGTGGGGGACAAGAGGGCTCCATTTGTGTACCTCAACATACCAGCTCGCACAACGAGGTAAACACCTCCAAGGCTCAGGTGGACAAACACAGGCAGGTTCAAGAGGGAAGTGTCCGTGCCATATCTAGCACATCTTCCTCTCTGGAAAGAACCTGAGAAGGGAGGGGAAGGCAGCGTGACCATCTATCTAACATCTGACAGTCAGGCCCGTGGGCCTCGAGAAATCATCCACCTGTCGCTATATAAGTATCTTCTCCCAGGTGAAAACAGCTGGTAGTTCCTACATTTATTCCACTTAGACTTTTCCACTGGAATATAATTTCTCAGTGGAATTATTTTTTTTAAGATTCTTTTTTAAAAGATTTTATTTATTCATTTGAGAGGGAGAAAGAAAGAGCTCGCACAAGCAGGGGGAGAGGCAGAGGGAGAGGGAGAAGCAGACGCCCCGCTGAGCAGGGAGCCCGATGCAGGGCTTGATCCCTGGATCATGACCTGAGCCAAAGGCAGACGCCTAACTGACTGAGCCACCCAGGTGCCCCTTTTTTAAGATTCTATTTATTTATTTAAGAGCAAGAGAGAGAGAGAGAGAGAGAGACACCGCTCGAGAGCAAGTGGGGGGGGCGCAGGGAGAGGGACAAGCTGACTCTGTGCTGAGCATGGAGCCCATTGCAGGGCTTGATCCCACGACCCCGAGATCACGACCTGAGCCGAAATCAAGAGTCTGATGTTCAACCTACTGAGCCACCCAGGAGCTCCTCTGGGAATTATTTTTAAAGCAACTCCAATGTGGTAAGTAGAAAATGGATATATTTCCTTTTGGCAGCATTGAATAGATTGGGGATGTATTTTTAATGCCCTACCTTCAGCACTGGAAGCCAGACAGGGGAATCAATCAGCAGCTTCTGCCTCCTCAGATCCCTGCCCCTACCACCTGATTGTGTCTCACTTTCTTACAGGGGGAAACTGAAACCCTGGAGAGAAAGGAGCTCAAGTTGCTAAGATTGAATGAGGCAATGCATACAAGTTCTTAGCAAGGCGCCTCGTATATAATAAGCACCGAAATGATAGCTAATGTTGTTACTATTACCATCACTGTCATTATCATAGGAAGAGGTATATCACTTTTTAATGTCCTTTTTAAAATTTATTTTTATTTATTTCTATTTTGTTTTATTGCGGAAAGAACACTTAACATGAGATCTACTTTTAACACATTTAAGTGTCCAATATATTATTGTTGACTGTAGGTCCAATGTTGTACAGCAGGACTCCAGAATTTATTCATCTTGCTTGACTGAAACTTTATGCCCATTGGTTAGTAACTCTCCATTTCCTTTCCCCCAGGCCCTGGCAACCACCATTCCACTCTTTGATTCTATGAATTCAACTATTCTAGGTACCTCATGTAAGTGCAATCATGAAGTATTTGTCTTTCTGTGACTGGCTCATTTCACTTTGTATAATGTCCTCAAGGTTCATCCATGTTATCGAATATTGCAGAATTTCCTGCTTTTTTAGAAAGCTGAATAGTATTCATTATTATGTATATACTACAGTTTCTTTATCCATCCACTGGTCAATGGACATTGAGATTGTTTCCACACCTTGGTTATTGTGGATAGTGCTACCATGAACGTAGGAGGGCTAATATCTCTTTGAGCTACTGATTTTAATTCTTCTGGATAAATACCCAGAAGTGTGATTGCTGGATCATATAGTAGTTCTATTTTTAATTTTTTTGAGAACCCTCTAAGCTGTAGTGGCTGCATCGTTTTGCATTCCCACCAATAGTGCACAAAGGCTCCAATTTCTCCACATTCTCGCCAACATTTGTTGTCTTTTGTTGTTTTGATAAGAGTCATCCTGATGGGTGTGAGGTGATATCTCATTGTTGTTTCAATTTGTATTCCCCAGATGATTATTGATGCTCAGCACTTCTTACATACCTGCTGGCCATTTGTATGGTCTTCTTTAGATAAATTTCTATTCAAGTCCTTAGCCCATTTTTCATTGGGTTGTCAGGGTGTGTTGTTGTGGTTTTTTTTTAACTATTGACTTATAAGGATTCCTTGTATATTTTGGAGGTTAATCTTGTATCACATATATGGTTTGGAAATATTTTGTTCCATTCCATAGATTGCCTTTTCTCTCTGATGACTTGTTTCCTTTCCCATGCAGAAGATTTTGGGTTTGATGCAATCCCATTTGTTTCTTTCTTATTTTGTTGTGTGCTTTTGGTGTCATATCCATGAAATCACTGGCAAGACCAATGTAATGAAGCTTTTCCCCTATGTTTTCTTCAAGACGTTTTATAGTTTCAGGTCTTACATTTAAGTCTTTAATCCATTTTGAGTTGATTTTTGTGTATGGCGCAAGATAAAGGTCCAGTGAAAAGTCTTTTGAATGTAAATACTCAGTTTCCCCAATACCATTTGTTAAAGGGACAGTTCTTTTCCCATTGTTTATTGTTAGCAACCTTGCCAAAGATCAGTTGACTATATATGCAGGGAATTGTTTCTGGGCTTTCTGTTCTTTTCCATTAGTCTGTATGTCTGTCTTTATGCCAGTACCATCCTGTTTTGACTACTGGAGCTTTATGCTATATTTTGGAATCAGCAAGTATGATACCTCCAGGTTTATGCTTTCTTAAGATTGATTGACTATTCATGGTCTTTTCTGGTTAAATATGAATTTTAGAATTGTTTTTCTATTTCTGTAAAAAATGCCTTTGAGATTTTGATAGAGATTGTACCAAAACTGTGGACTGCTTTGGGTAGTATGGATGTTTTAACATTATTAATGCTTGACATGGAATGTCTTTCCATTTGCTTGTGTCTTGTTTAATTTCTTTCATCAGTGT